ACTTATGTATACATAAGCACAAATTCAGTCTGTTTATCCCAGAATCCAATTCCCAGCGTCGAGTTCAGCTTCCGCTGCACAGGGAATAGTTATTTAAGATAGCGGCAGCGGTCAAAAGAAGATTTTTATTGCCTGACGTTTTGTGGAAGTTTATTTAAAATTTGGTAATCAACAAGAATCCAGTGTCGAGATTTCTTGTTAGTGAGCCCTAAATTTATCGTTCAGCTCTATGTCCAAAAAAGTTTAGTACGTGATTAATTCTCACCGCATTTTGGAACGATGAAATTCCTCCTTTCTGCAGCACTGGTAAGTGGTAACAATGATTCGTATGAATGCTGCACTGTGCAGCATTCATACGAATAGCTGCAAATACGATTGCTGTTCCTCTTGCACCCATACCAACATCACGTCCAACATTGCAAGCAAGCGAGATTTAGAGACCGAATGTTCCTAGTTATTGTATTTGAATCTGTAACAAGAATACATTCGATTTTGTTTTAATTTTTTTGTGTGTTTTGGCCCCAAAGAGACCCGACTGGTAGGATAAGCTGAGCCCAAAACGATGGGGCTCAGTTGGCCCTGGAATACGGGTCATTACTTGTAATGAACGGAAGAATTCACAACTTTTGCTGTTTATCCTGTATTTGGAAATCTGGCTTATTGCGCATTTTCTTGAATTATGACTCTGTTGCTGGCCAGAAACAATCGACTTGGTTGTCGAACATCTTGCAAGGCAAAACTATGACGAGCCGTTCGTGCCAAAAGGTTTTATGTATGTTTTGTTATTATGTAAGTTATGTTATGCTTGTTATGATCGTCATGTTACTTGTGTTACGCTTTTTATGTATGTTGTCTTTTACTTATGCTGCGTTTGTTATGAATGTTACTGCACACATGATACTATTTTATGCTTGATTTCAAATTATTTCTAATCGTGACATTTAATAGTGTCATGATTAGAAATAAATTCACTGGAGCAAAGTGCTAGTACAAGTTACAGATCACATTAAAATAGCAATTCTCGCGCAAAGTAGGCGAAGTCATTGGATAGTTTTGCCGCAAGAGTTGGTGATAGAAACTAAAAAATTAATAAAATTATTCTGCTTTAATTGGACCAAAAGTAATGGCTTATGCCCTGCTGCTGTTGTTAAACATTATATACTGTAAGGTTAACAATGTTTTTAGAAGGGCTCAGCCGCTTTTTCCGCCACACTTTCCGGCATGTGATGTATGCTTCTGTTGGTTCTCGTGATTCCCTTTCTTTTCATATTTTCTACCTTCTTAGCAGCTATCTTGTCTTCTCTCCTAGCTACGGTTCTTGACTTTCCTATTCATTCAGTTGCTCCCGATCGCGCTACGATTCTGACAATAAAGTTACGATACGCATTCACAGTACATACACTAAACGGCATCACTGCAGGTAGCGCATGGGGCGTTTAATCCAGATCTGCGGACTGGAAAGCCGTGTACACCGGAAGTAAGTCAAACTGCCCGTCGATACGGTACATGATTGTAAACTTGAGGTCCCCGGTGACATTGAGTTTAGCCGGCAACTGTTTGAGACGGTTAAGTGACGTCACTGAGGTTAGCCCAGTCGCGACATAATACACTGCTGCTGAGAATTATGTAGTTCGTGCCAAATGGATTTCCTTTACTGACTTTACAATGGAGTCTTATTGTTAGACCGAGGATGATCGTTACGTCCTAATGAACCAATTATGATTTACGACAGATGTTGGGATGCGAACACAGACTAAAAGTGTTTACACCAAAAGTGTACTAGAAATGCTTTGAATGGGTTGCTACAGTTTGCAGTAAATGACCGGTAACTATTTTTTCGTTTTGGTTACAGGCATATTGTAATCTGCAGGTTTTATTTCGCAGTCTTTCTCGACACCCCGGTGCGAAAGAAGACCCGGGTAACTGGTAAGAACTATCACAAGTCGGCTATTCTATGCAGCGCTTCATATGGTAAATCTTCCAATGTTTCACGGTGCTCTGTAAATTTAACGTAGTGCGAATTCAAATTTTTTAAATGCTGGTTTTAAAGTCACAGCAGACTTTATTTATTGAATCGCTAGTCGCTGATGTAGTCCGCGCATTTTGCGCGGGGAATAATTATTGCACGAGCTTTTGCGGCTGTTGCTGCCCGAGACAGCGCGCGCTTAGTTTGTCCTTTCCAAACTTACACGTTGCTGGCACTCCTCGTTGCTTCGTTTAACATTTCCGTCCTGCATGGCCTTTCTCAGTTCAATACTCTATACCGTTACTCTGCTCTTGGAGAGCGCTTCTCTCGACATTTTCTAGATTGTCGGGAATCTGTCGTTTGATTTTTGTCTGTCCCTGCGCCGTGATGGGGATGGAGTAATAAGGAAGTTAAAGGATAAGGAAGTTCTGAAGAATAAGGAAGTTACGGGTTAAGGAAGTGATGACGCAATAAGGAAGTTATCTTCCACTTCCGTAACAGACAGACAGACGGACAGACAGACAACTTTCCACTTTTGTTGAATTAGAGGACCTTCGCTGCGCTCCGGTCGATGAACAATTGTTAGACAAAAATACAGTAAGATATTATACGCGTCTAGCCACACTACTATAAACTGAAAGGTAGCCATGGTGTGCAACCGGTATTATTTACAAAAGGGTGAGCCTTTATTTCTACGTTTGAACAACGATCTGTCATATTTGCCAGTTGCCGGCATGGCTGCTAAGGATTAGAGCCGTGTACAGCACTGTACACCGGAAGTACTGTACTGTAAATCCAACTGCCCGGACAGCGTAACCGCAGTTACAGTACTCAAGTATACCTGTTTCGTCCCGTTGGTGAATTGAGACTCTGGGGCCTTTCGGACAGTAAGCCTCTCTGTTATCGGAGAACTGGGCAGGAAAATCAACAAGAAAACAGGTAAGTAGTAACAGAGAAATACTGCACCGCCGCCAGCGGATCACTATCAAAATTCAAACGCGGCATCCGTCTGGGAACGAAACCAGCTTCGAGTAATTTGTATCAAATATGCCCTGTTGTGCGGCCGTCAGTTTCCGTGGTATGTGATGTTTGGTTTCTGAATTGTCTATGTGCGATTTCAAGCAACAGTTTTTACAATAGAGCGCCCTGAAACACACGCTAATTAACGATTCCCGGTACTCCAGCGTATAGTGTATCAGGTAAATGATACAGAAAAAATCTAAAGTGCTGCAAATTAGCATCCCCGTCACCCGTTGTGCAGCAATGGGTAAAATTGATAACCGTTACTGTTAAATACCATCTACATTTGCTTATTTTTTTTCACAGTTAGTACAAAACATAAAAGGCTACCTGTTATCAAGGGAGGAACATTCGAACATATTGGAGCCAATATTAATTTGACGCACGGGAGCCGGCGCAGGAGAGCGTTCTCGTAGTTTGTCGAAGTAAACGGTGATCCGTTATTTAGCGTCTTGTTTCGTATGGCTACGAAGTGTTTTAAGATATTTAAAACGTAAATGTACTGTAAATGTTTATGTTTTTGTTTAGTATGAATGGAAATGCTTTCTACGCAACTGTACTGCATATATATGCAGGATACTCCTTCGTTAATGTGTGTCGAATCTGACCGAGGCTGCGTCACTTCCTGTACTGTGGTGCTGTTTCAGCAAGTGCGATCGCGAGAAATGTAAAGTATAAATATAGATATATTAGCTACGTATGTATGACAACTACGGGTGATAACCACGTAATAAGTATGTGCAGACAGTCGACAGAGCCAGTCTTTCAACCATTGTATTTTCTGCCTTTGTCTGCACGAAGTTTGAGTAGTGCGCCTCAAATAAGAGCTAACTGAAAGGCGAGACGACTACCGTGCGAGGAGAGTCAGGAGACTCACAGCTGTCGCAGGTACATGCCTGGTGCAGGGCGTCACTTCGTGGCTTTGAATTCCTTTTGGGCTTGTGGCTTTGTGCTCTTCCAGTGCATCGGCGAAAATCTTCTATTCAACCGTAATGCATATGAAGGAGACTCTTTCATATGCACTACGATTCAACAGCCTGCCTCTTCTGCCTTAAGTCTGCGCCTGGACTCTGCTCGGCACAATAAGCAGTGCTGACTCCTATACCGTTTGACCTAATCATTTCGTTTATTTGCAATGCTAAAAACAGAATACTCTGGAAGTTACCATAGTTATATAAATGAGGAAATATAAGCACAGGCTCATCATTACCGACGCAAATGTCTCTGTCTGCCAGACTACATATGAATATTCCAAGGGAACAAATCCACGTTTCTGATCTATGAACCGCATAAGACGCGAATCGCGTATACGATTTTGTTGCAAATAATTATCATAATATTTATCCGCTACAAGAATGCAATCTTCGTACTTCTCCCCCAAACGTGGGCATAATCAGTTTAACTTAGGCAATACGGTACTGATCAATCGTGGTGACAATGTGTGGTATTTGGCATACATCCAGGATATCGAGGGTGACAAAGTTTTTGTCGATTTCGACTGTACCCAGATTCCGCCCTCCTGGATTGATTTACAGTATGTGTGGGAACATCATCATTTGGTGTTATCTGAGGAAGCAAACGATCAGACTTTCGGCGAGTATTTCCCCACTCCCAACGTGTACGTTGCCGTGCGAACCAACCGGAATTCACCATACGTTTTTCATCCGGGTGAAATGTTCAGCATTTGTTCTACTGAAAACAAAGCGTTGTGTTATGTCTCACTCGATACTACCGTCGATCGCAGCAAGAAAACAACAAACCTCTGCCAGGTTGTACATCTTTGGCAAGTTGTACATGAACTTCCTACTGCACAGCCATCCGCGGGCGCGCTACCTGGCGAAACGCCTTTTATAAAAATTAGTTTTGAATCTGAAAAGGTCAACGCTGCTGTTATAAAAGCTATCACTACCAGCGAGCAGGAGATGAAGACATTTGTCGATCTGCTGTTCCACGGTGCTGGATATCGCTACGGTTTGTTAAACCACATGGGATGGAATCGATTCTTTGTCAACGTTGAGAGCGGTATGCTGACGTTCATATTTTTAAGGATTTGGCGTTGGGTAACACGTGTTGAGCGGGAACGTTATCCGTTCGCGCTGACTGCCGAATCACAAGCGCGATTATCGAGTGCTTCCGAGAAGCTGATTGAATGCTTCAGCTACAGCGAAGACAACCGCGAGATTCTTTTGAATGCCTATTGTTCGGGTAATGAAAACGCTTAAACGAACGCTCATAAGGGTGTGGATGTATAACACAACCGGTTTTGTTCATATCATACTTATTTCTTTATTTTCTGGTAGGGTTTTGTGACAAAGTGAAGTATGGACTTTGGTGGTTTCAAATGGTGGGGACGCTACGTCAACCTAAGTTCATGATGTGCGGGTGTCGCAATTTTCCCACAGAATGCAATAACGTTACTTGCCCGTACAAACTGGCCTGTGAACATTCAGTTCTCCATCCGGAGTTAAACTGCCCTACTTGCCCCAGTACGGTTCTGTTTTCAGATTCTTCTCCGAATATTTTCGAAATTATATAATCGCAGTTCGTGATCAGAGAATGCACTAATCTTATAAACTAATGTTGACCTTGTCCTTTACAGAAAACGGAGAATTCATCACAGAAGTATTTCTATGCAACGTTTTGTCAGAAATACTTTTGGTTTTGGATGTCCATTCGCAAGCCAAAGCAACACGGTGCGTAGAATGCTCTATACAGGTTCCAACATCTGCAGACCTGATTTGAAAAAAACTTTTTCAGTTATTTTATAATTTTGTTTTTCCCGGTACTGCTTTCACTGGGCATTTATTATTTGCAAATAACAATATCCCGCAGAGCCAGCCTTTCAATATGTAGCAATGGTTCTTTTCTGTTAAATTGATTATACGCTCGCTGAGAGGTTTAAGTGCAAAGTGCCGTAGTTTAAGTGCCGATGCTTACGTGTGATCACTGTGATGATTTTTCAAAGGTTAAGTGAAGCTTGAAAAAATATCGACTGCACACAGTTCGAACCGTGGACTTCATGAAAATGTTCGCTAGTAAATTGCTCACAAAATCTTTGCGGCCGACGATAGATAAGTACTTGTGTGTACTATCGTGGTTGGAAGGATTTAAAAGTTAAGATAAAAAATTGTACAAACACTAAAAACAAAATTTTAATGGGTAATGCCCAGCGTCCAATATCAGGTCGGCTCGGCCAACAGCAACCGGTTATCTCACAGAGCGCCTAGCCTTGCGGCTCGTGGTGAAAATATACACTACACTAACTAAACTGCGTACATATTTGAAGAGCAGAATGAACGAAAAAATTCTATTTCTCCAGTGCTCTTAGCCTGGTGGAGGCATTACGTCTCAGTACCACCATCTCCTTAGTTTCATAATAGGACTAGCGGTGGTTGCGAACCACACTATTGCACGAGCGCGAGCAGCAGTACCACTGGGAAATGGTATTAGGATTGTTGGATTGGAAAAGCGTGACGTACGCTCTTCGTGGCGTCAGACAAATTTTATGCTCTCGACGAAGACTTATTGCAGCACCTCGCGCTTCGCGCTCGGTGCAAATTATTAGAAACGTTACAGTTTTTTATTAGGCATGTGTTTCTCTACACATAGATAGTTTTCTGTAAATTTGATCATGTACCGTATATATCGCACTAGCAGACGTGATAGTTTGCGAACTCGTAATGTTTAAAAGGTGACAGGAAAATCCGGTTCGTGCTACGGGACTACGCTGGCTACTCGGCATCTGCCTACAAACCGCCCCGAGCCGGCGTGTCGTGTCGCTGCAAATCAGAAACTGGCGGGTCCGGAGGCCCGGAGACCAACATGCTGTACGATTGTGTATGGCGTGAGCATATCCGGCCGCCGTGTAGTGTGCTTTTGTTTGCATCGCACTGTCAAGGGCACGCACTGTGCGATGTCCCTGACGTGGCGGAAGGACACAGCCGAAGCTGGACAGTTGCACAACTAATGATCAATAGCACCGCTTATGATACTCTAGGCAAAACTGTACGAGCCTCCTCGTACTCAAGGAGGGTTAACCCTTGAGTAGTTTTGTTCTAACCCTTGGAACAACGAGAAGATGACACACAGAAGAAACTTCAAGACCGAGCATGGCCATGTAGGGGAAGCATCTGAGTAAGCGGCAATACTCGCGACAGCGCAGCAAAAAGCTACGTCAAAAGATTTTGTCAAGGGCGCAAATTTGTCTGATGCCTCGAACTGTGTAGTCACTGCAGTGTAACACTTCGCAAGTCCAGTCCACTTTTGTAGTGGCATTGTACGCGCGCTCGGTGCAAATGATGTGATTAACTAGCCACTTTTGTGTATCTGGTGTCGAAAACACATTTTTCTTGTTCGTTAAACACGGGTGACCTTTGCTTCGCTTCGATCGATTGGCGAAAACCATGCACTTCTAAATTGCAGTGGCTTACTATCACGGGGAAAAGTAGTTCGCTATTTACTGCGAAAGCATTAAAAATTACTGAAGATTTCTTGTTACTTATACACGTTAACTATTTTGCAGAGTTTGTCGGTTATGGAATCAAGTGCTAGCTAGCTCCTGGGCACCCAGAGATGTTTGTGTCACCGTTGATTTTCGAGCTATCAGCAGAAAGCCTCCGGGTCCTAATGAAACGGAAGGGTACCATATTGGGTACATGCTGGATCATAGCATAACGCCCTCCACCAAAGCCCTATCGTTAGTTAATCTGGGGTACCGCGGTTGCGCCTTTACCGACATGTACACCGTCTATTCCTTGTTCTACCTAAAGAGTTTCAAATTGCCGTACATTTTGATCAAAGACTTCAGTGCGTGTTCGGAACTGTTTCCAACTGAGACAGGTCATCGTCTGTTCCGCCTGCCTGTGCTTATGCCGGTTTGTCGGCAGTTGTTGGTGGTTAACTGTACCTTTATAAACGCTGTCGGTTGTTTCCACCACGCGCAACGCGATGAACGTCTAATAACCAACGATGCGTTACTGTCGAGAAAGCTCGATGTTACGGTTCCTAGGATGTCATTTGATTGTTCAGCTAATGCCGGCGAAATCCTGCGATGCTTCATGGATATCCTGGAGAATTCTCTGCCACCAGCAGATTCCATTAAGGAGCGAGTGAAGCAGCAGCATCAGCTGATGGTGGAAACGGTACCTTACCCAGATGGCTGGCACAAGTTCCGAAAATTGTTGAAGAGGTGAATGAGAATATGAGACTCTTCATATTATAACAAAAATTAAAAGTACAGTATGTGTGCCCTGTAGCCTAAAACAGCATACACGCATAATACTTTTATAATTTTAGTTACAGTAAGTGCTTACACTACTCGTAATAACAGCAACTGAGCTGCAAGGTAAGTACAAATTTAATAGTATGCGCGGGTAGCTGTACTCACTACCCAGTTATTATCAGATCGGCCTTTTGGTCTGTTATGAATCGCGTAAAAAGGGTACGTCATTAATGGACTAATGGAGCGCTAATGTATCAGTACGTCAATGAAACTGCAGTTCACTTCGGTACGAGAAAACGCAAAACACGCAGTATCGCTAATCTCGTAAATGCAATAGTCGAGTAAATGAAATGCACGCATTTTGCAGGCACCATTTTACACAATTCGTGGAAAAGGATAATGATGCATTTTGGGATAGTTTGGATTTAAGACGTTTCGATGATCTGCCGCTTAGCCGCTACGTTCTGCATTTGATCAATGCTAGACATGATTTGCCTCTAGAAGCTGTTCATCCCTTTTGAAATTATTATGTGGACTGTTAGTTCACGAACATGCACTTCTAATATTTTAATTATGCTTCGAAATGGTGATAAGCCGCACTGTCTAGTGTATAGGATAAGAGATGATGCAGCATATTCATACGCAACAGAAGCATGAGAAATCAACGTTGACTCGAGCTCGCCGTTCTTTAGATATTGTGGAAATCTCCACTAAAAAAGGTGAGCAACACATACAATACAAAGCTGGACAAATGTGCTGATCAACAATATAGAAATAATGCTTTTCACAGATCAAAATTATTAATATTAATTTATTAGTTTGTATGTTCTGGTCTTCTCGGTACAAGATATGGTGCATAAAAGCGTTCCAGCAAAATAAAAGTACAAGATATGATCTCTGAACCGTATAAGACGTGAATCGCGTATACAGTTTCATTGCGAATAACATAAATTTATCCACTACAAGAATGTCATTTTCGTATTTTTTCTGCAAAGGTGGACATAATAAGTTTAACTTGGGCAATACACTGTATTGGCTAATCGTGGCGACGATGTGTGGTATTTGGCACACGTCCAGGATATCGACGGCGATAAAGCTTTTGTCGATTTCGGCTGTACTCAGATTCCGCCTTTCTGGATTGTTCTACAGCGCGTGTGGGAACATCATCATATTCTGGCGTTGTCTATGGAAGAAGTGTACCACTATTTCCCTACTCCCAACGTATACGTTGCTGTGCGAGCCAACCAGAACTCACCATGCGTTTTTCATCCTGCTGAAATGTTCAGCCTTTGTTCTGTTGAACACAAAGCGCTGTGCTATGTATTACTCGATACTGCCATCGAACGCAACAAGAAAACAACAAACCCATGTCACATTGCACATCTTTGGCAAGTTGTACAGAAATACAGGAACCTTCTACTGCACAGTCATCTGCGGGCGCGCTACTCGGCGAAGCGCCTTTTATAAAAATTAGTTTAAATTAATTAATTAGTTTTGAATCTGAAAAGGTCAACGCACATTTTATGAAAGCTATCACTGCGAGTGAACAGGTGATGAAGACACGATTAGTCGATCTGCTGTACTGGATATCGCGACGGCTGTACTGCTCCACGGCTGTACTGTCCACTGTACCGGATATCGCTATGGTCGTCATAACCATATAGGATGGAATCGATTCTTCCTCAAGGTTGAGAGGGGGGCATGCTGATGTTCATATTTTTAAGGATTTGGCGTTGGGCGACTCGTGTAAATGGAGAATATTATCCGGTCGTGTTAAACGCCGAGTCGCAAGCGCGATTATCGTGTGCCTCCGAGAAGCTGACTGAGTGCTTCAGCTTAGAGCAATAGGTATGTTTCTTGTCCAGTGCCGCAAGTTTTAGTTTTGTCAAGTTGGATTGGACTCTTCTTTGGAGAGTACAGCGTAACATCGGTTTAGTTTCATCTATCCACACTATACACTGCATATTTCCATTCAGACACGTTTCGTAATTAATCTTCTAGACTGAGTTTGTATATACAACGACGACCTACCCGCACTGTTTTATTACAAATTACAATCGCCTCGACGCTTTATGCTTGTTCGGATTGAAGTTGAGATCCATTGTGCACGAATAAAATCCGCACTGTGTTGTGTACGTATACTGTGTAGTAGCTGTGGCCTGGCCGCAGTGACGTCACGCAGCCGCCTCGATCGGTTAATTGCTGGTAAAGCTTAGTATCACCGGGACCCCCCGTTTACAATCGTATATCAACGGCTGTTCGGGCAGCTGGATTTACTAATTCCGGTGTACACGGCTTGAATCAGCAGCGTCTGAATTAAGCGTTCCATGCGTTTGCTACATCGATGCCGGCAAGTGTGGCGGGTCTAGTTCTAGCGCCGGAAAAAGCGGCTGACCCTTTCTGCAGATAACGATGTTGACCTTTCATATGTGCAGTAACCACACACGTATAACAATAATAATACTTGTAGTTTCCGGTATTTCTGACTTTGATTTTTAGGTACCATATGTACAAGTATACGTAATGGATTTGGCAATTCCCAAAAATTTGTAGTCTTCCAAAGGTTCGCTGCGTCTGAATTCCCAGATCTTTAACTCTATGGAGGAAACGTTCGTATCCTGATAGTCGTTGACCTTCATGCATAGCGAAGATCCGCATATCATTTCTATCGAGACTACGTACAATCATTCGATGAGACAGATGATGTTATATGTACCGAGATTTCTCTCGTCCGGTGTTTCGGCATACTTTTCATAATTGTTTCCGGATTCGCCAGGGGATTCAGCGTCTTCTGTGGACTGATGAGACTGCAGAATATGACACATTCGCTATGAATGTCCATGTGTACGGATACATACATATCGGTACATGTGAATTGACGCATCTATATGATTAATTTTATTGCATACTTCTATAGTTTTTCTCGTCTTCTGTAACGTTAACTCTACGAGTATAAACCAACTGCTGCTGCCTGTTGCGTAGTAATAACTATTTTGTCATTCGCTATGAGTGTTTGCCTTTTATAAATCTGTGGCGTTTAAAGTTAGGAAAAACTGATAAAGCTGCACGCAAGAAATTACCAGCTTTCGCTTGCTGCAGAAAGCGTAGCGTACTTAACATTTTCGAATCCGTATCTATGTACTGTAGTTTGCCTACACAAACGGGACAGCAGTTTATGTGCTACAGATACGATGACGGTATCACAGGAAAGCACTGGACAAGTTTTCAAGCAGCACATCGTTTGACCATCCCATAAAAACGCAAAAACGTTTACAAAACTTTCCTTGTACAAGCTGGTAAGTACTGTAATTATAGACGGCCGTAAATGAAGCAAAACATAATGATGATTAATTTCCGATCTACATGACAGTAACACTGGATGCACTGATTGCCGGCATCCATGGGGCGGAGGTCAGTGGTAATGGAGTGTGGGGAGTCGGGGACCAGCGTTGACCGTTGCCGTAAACGACACCGGCAATGGTCCGGCATGGCAACACTCATCCACACTGCGCCTCTGCGTGATGGTCGACTGACGATTTACGTCTGTCGCCGGCTCCGGCTCGTTGCTCACCTCTAGAAAAATAAAAATTCAAAATCATGCAACCGACCAAATATTTTCTAGTTCGAAAATATGGTATGGTCATGGACCAGTGTCAATCTGTACATCCCAGGTACAATTGTACTGTGTAGTCTATTATTACCAATATTAAAAATGAAGATAAATTTAGGTAAGTGGTACTACGTTCAACGTTGTTTGTCGTAGATAAGTATACTTTACGGTACAGACTACAGATAGCACAACAGATAGCCTAAAAACTTCGTGATGTACGCACCTCGTCCGTACACTCGTCGTACATCAGTGTAAAAATTGCAAACAAGGAATATAAAAATAGGATCGATTCAGGATAATTACGGCAACGGTCGGTAGGGACGGCGTAAAGGGCATAATAATGATGAGAGTCGCGCGACAGGTAGCGTTTACGATGCGGTGAATCCGCAGATCGTGGCAGCAAGTGCCGGCCCACTTGACGTCCGTCTCTCCGAGCCGTCAATTGCCGATAAGATACACGCCAATTAAGCAAACAATCGACACACGCAGAATCGAGCAGCCAGATTGGATCACCTGCGTAGCTCAGTCCACAACGTCGCAAGTTGCTCCACGTGCGATCCATGCGATCCAGCTATGTCCTGCCACTGCGCCAGGCGCTATAGGTTAGCAGGGATCGGGATTTTTTACGAACAAAGAGACTTGTCTTCCATTATCTATTACCCGCAGCTTAACAGGTCGATCCCTTCGTAAACACAGGTCGACGACCTGTATTTATGAAGGGGTAACCAGTAAGTACTATAAAGAGGTAACCCATAGAGAAAACAGCAATTGCTGCATCTAAATCACAAAATCATGGTATTCACCGTAAGCGTTGGGTGTAATGTCGGTTTACGTAATAATCGATTCTGTCCACGTTCAGTACGAAGTCATCGTCGCCCATTTCAGTACGGCGGGTATAATCAAGCTTCATGGTTTCAATGAAGTTCTGATTATACACACCGCGCTGAGATTGTTCGACCGTGTTCCATTCAATAGCATCACCACAGTCAGTAAAAAATCGCGACTCCGTCGGCGGTCCGTCCATTCCGCTATAACCAACTGTACGATGTACCGCATGATTACACTACCAGTGAAAGGCGGAACCCGCAGAATAGAGGGACCGTCATTCAAAACAGACTTCAAGGCCCTTGATACTCGCGGAGAAAGCATTCAAAATCCCAAAGCGCGATTACATCTACAAAACGTCATACACACGTGATAAAATAAATTAGGTGCTAAGATTACCGTGCTCAGAGAACCTTTTTCACAATACTTCTCGTCATAATCGATCATGTTTTAACAATTGTTTAAATATACACCTATATTTAAAATCTTTTAATCATTTTGCATACTCACCTCATGCGGTGGCCAAATTTTAGCCATCTAGCCGCGGTGCAATTCTTAAACACCGCGCAGATTATTGCCAGCTTGTCACATACATACTTCTAGCAGTGCATGATGGCAGCCAAATCGTTATTGTATGTACTCGTACAAATATTATACCTTCATTTCCTTCTCCATGAAAAGACTTCTGTTCCGGCTGAGTAATCAGAACTTATGTCATACTGCAAGATGTTCTTGCTGGCGTCTTGGATGGCGCTAGCCAGGCTGTGGTTAACATAGCTAAGCTAAAACATAGCTAAGCTAAAAAACATAAAGGGTTTCGGTACCGATGCCACTCCCCGCTGTAGAATTTCCCGATCGCCGATCACGTACCTTTGCACGTATCCCTTGAAAAATACGAGTACTGGCCACCATGGCAATCCCAGTGCCCGATTAGCATGCATCTCCTCGGCCCTCCTGAACTCCGTGGCGGCGCGGCGGATAATCCTTTCTCGCACAATGGCATCCACACCATCGCCGCCCTTCATTTCGTCCATCTTCTTCAGCGTCATCCGCTCGGACCGCTTCTCATACTTCTCGCCCTGCACCAGCCGGTGCAAGTCCGGCACGTCGATCTGCTCTGGATCCAGCTCGCCTACCTCTACAATCTCCTCCACCTCGGCGATGGTGATGCGGCTGGCTTTGCAGATGGGCGGATTGAAGTTGCGCGCGGTCTTGCGGAAGACCAGATTCCCTAGTTTGTCGGCCTTGTACGCATTGACCAGGGAGAAGTCGCCGGTGATGGCCTCCTTCAAAATGTACTCGCGGTTGTTGAACATTTTCGACTCGCGGGTCTGGCTGGCGATGTCGATCTTCTTGTTGGGCCCGTACTTGATGGGGGCGCCGCCCTCGTGCACCAGGGTACTCACGGCGGTGGGCGTGTAGAAGGCGTGTATACCGGCAATGCCCGCGCGTATACGCTCGGCCAGTGTACCCTAAACCGATACACATATATTTTCTACTTTTTCTTTATACGTATACGAGAATATCAGCATGCACAAACTCGAATAAACCAATAATTTGGCTTCGCTAATCATTGTCAGTTGCTTTTGCAAGCAAGTTTTGCGTACATCATCAAACGATCCCCTTAGCAAAATGTTACCATCCAGGAGATCCATCTGCGTGAATGCGTTAACATCTGCAACAGTTTCTGCTGCTTACGAAGGCGTCTGTGCAGCGCAAAAGATTAACCGAACTGGTCCGAACACAAGTTCCATAAAGCAGAACTAGAAACAGTATTGGAGTAACCGGAAATACAATAATCACTAATCCGAAGACAAACACACGCATCAGTATCCCCTGAGCACTTCCGGTGCCTTCTTTGACGTTACCGGCGCTTCGCCACGAGCAACGAGACATTTCTTCTGATGATTAAGGATTCCGCATCGCGTCCGCACAACGTTTCCACATTCCGCCCTTCCGGTCGGCAGTGTGTCGTGTGCTGCGGGACTTCGGAACGAGAGCGACATTTCTGGTTGCATCCGTACAGCACATCAACGCACTGAAAAGCATCCGAGAAAAATGCTACATGCAATAGATGCATTTCTTAGTCAGATTTCCGAACCTGAAAAAAGGGCAACGCTTTGGTGTCAACATTAAACTATTCATTTCATCGTCTACTGTATGCATGAAACTATATCAACGCTACTTTGAATGAGCCATCATAATAACATTAAATTACAACTAAATTTCCGACACGGAAAGGACAGAACTTCACTATCTAACAGCACGGTATAATAGCGAATCAAATCACAGGAACAATCGCTACGACCAAACAGCGTCAAGGTGCAGACAGTACTGTAAATCAATAAACAAAGTAAAAAAACAAAAACGCATTTTGTTTTCCTGTGCAGACCAGCCGTGAATGACACCACCGCCGCGCTAATTAATTATTGTATAATTAATGAATTAATTCATCAGACTAGAGCGTAGTGAAGATACGTAAGCTCGTAAGATACGGAAGTTCCAGCGAACATAATCTATAAAAATTAATAAGCAATAAATACATCAAATATTCTAGAAAGAAAAGCAGTAAAAAAGATTTACAGAAAGATATCACATAAGATAAGAACATTTGGCAGGCGCTATTTAAATATCTCTAGCATAATGGGTTTGAAACGGTTTGAAATGGGCCCGTTCCGCCTCAAACAAAACATTCGTTGAACACGCTGAATACGAAAAGGAATGGACTGGCCGGATTCAGAGTTCACTGTTCAGCAGCAACAGCTTGCGGTTGTCGAGGCTGCATCACGCGGCGGCACACTACGCCGTCACCGGCGTTATTCAACAGAGCACTGCAAAGCGACAGCATAATGTCACAACACGAATTTAGACCTCATAAACACAAGGAGACGCTAATTTACACGTAAGAAGACATGAACAAACTTTGTGGTATTGCACATTAATACAAATAGTTAGCATAAATTTGTACTGTGCTAGACACTGTAGCTGCTCTAGACCAGACGGTACACTGATATTAGACGCGACGGCGCGCATCAAAGTTACCGTACTTTATATCATTCACCAGGTCATCCACATCCAACTCAGGGTCGGGCTGGACGTACACGAAGCGCTTCCGGCCTAATACATCAACGTCGCGCTGTCCTTCGAAGAAGCCGCGTAGATGAGCATTCAGTCCCAGTCCAGTAAGGAAAACGTCGGCAGTCTCTCCTGCAGGGATATGGGCCGCTGCAACACAAGGTCATACTTTCATTACCGATCGACACATTTGACTGCCATCAATACGGATGTTATATTCTTCAAAACCGTTAACACCTACAATTCTTACACATTCCTAATTAACTCAATTTTACGTAAAAATCTACAAAATCTGTCTTCATTGTAAAGAGACAATACATTATACAACAGCGATGCACAAAATTCAAGCAGTACAGGTATTAAGTTATATTAAGTCGGCGTTAAGTTAATTAAGTTATATTAAGTTGGCGCGACAGCACATCATAACAACCGCTAGCGCTGTCGCACATTATTATCAAAACCTGCTCCAGATCAAAGCTATTCTTGAACGTTAATATAAACAAGCAATAAAAATTAATTAATGCTTTGCAGTTTACACTCACGCCTGATGGTTAATTGGTTATTTTAGACTACTCGGTGGATGTTAAACAAGGAAGTTCATCAGCAAGCAAATTCCACTGAAATTGTTGTACATAGCGAAATTCTGTATCAATAAGTACAAAACCGATTACGTTTACTCGTAAAGAAAACGTATACTTTTAAACAAGGACAATTTTTAAGAGCCAAAGATCACCGATTAAATCAGACTGACCTACGGGAAAATCGAACTCAATTTTCCGCATATGATCCCCCGCCTGATCAGCAGCAGCGGGCATAGCTGCAACGCTAACCAATCTGTTAGCCGCGTCCGGAACCAGCTGGGCCATCATAACGAAATATTCACGAGCTTATCCGCGAAGGTTATGAAAAAAGGACTAATTTTCTAACGGGAGATCAAGAAAATACTGGAATCACTCTTTAATGAAAAAGAAGAAGCAGACTTCCAATTGAACTGACAAGCGGATCGCTCGTTTATATAGCGGCATGCGCTACCACTACGCCTCTATGAACATTTAACGCAATCCCAAGACATGCGTCTACGTGGCGTACTGAGCACACAACCAAAGCTGGGCATCCCGACCAGAGATCCAGGCATGGGTCAATCGCCTCACGCGCTTATCGCCCAAGAGCAACCCTTATCCACTTTTAAAATCACTTCCTCCAACATCGTGCAAAACACGATGGAATTTCTTAAGAAATCATGCACTGTTTCGGTTTTAAACCGTTAATTATTAAGGTAACTGCACGTTATTGTTTAACACACAAAATATCACCGGAGAATGGCTGATCAACGCATGTAGTTAACACTCGGCGACTTTCGCAACAAAAACTAATCCGATTATCCGAAGCGCACAGGAAAACGTCGAAATCTACCATGTATTTAACCATTTCTGCTATGATACGGTTTGTCAAAAATTTGGGAGGCAAATATGTTGCTAACCACCGCTCTTCTCTCTCAAATTTCTGACGCAGTTTCATCGTTCGGCGTTGCTCATTTTTAAAGAGCTTTGCAAAATGTGTATAATACGTTCCAGCCGGGTTTCGGAGTAAAACAGCTGGTAATCATTTGCTCGTGCTGGACAGCTTGGACTGACGGGCGAGAAGACAAGACTGCCGGCGTTATAAAAATTACGTTTATTATGCCATTTATGCACTCAAAAAGGTGTAAAATGCACATTAAACTTGAACTGCCAAAATAAAAAATCATCGTTCACACTGCAGTAGTATTGTTCGCCGATAGCAATCAACTGAACAATTACCGTACATCTTACGCCACCAAAAGCGACCAAACAGCCGCTTTCTAATCCTGAAGTTAATAAAAAATCGGAATAAATTTCAACAACTTCCAAGGTAAACGCGAACATTGAATAATATCTTTCCGTTAATATTCTATTTTTTTTCCATATTTAAAAATTAAAGAATCATTAAGTTCACAACTTCACATAACCAAACAATGATTCGATTTTTCTATTAAGAATCACAGAACTGTCGAACTTGATTCATTTTGCTCGAACTTTACTCATTTTCGCTCTTCAGATTAAAGCATTTCTTCTTATGTGCTCGAAATGACTAAATAACCATTATTCACTAACATATTTTGATACCAAATCCCCGATGCTCAGTGCACAGCAGACGCGTTAGGGAGCAGGTGCAAAGATACGAAAATTAATAGTTTAGCCGGCCTGCTCGCCCCCTGTTAACATTGAGCAGCGGCTAATTAAAAATTATCTAACGCACTTATGAAGCAGTGCCGGACAAATCTAGAGTTTTCCAAATAACAATACACTGCAAATTACGAGTACAAAGAAAAATGTAATCGCATGGCTGTGTTGCAGCAAAACGACAAATTTACTAACCAGTAAATACAACTTCCGGTACGTAGAGCAATTCCGGTTTTCCAATGTTATTATTGAACAATTTTTATCAAATTTTTTAAAATTCCTTTAATTTTTCAAATTAAAGATTTCAGTTAACTGTCTTTTTCATTAGATTTTTGTTTACAAAAATTTCATAATATAGTAAGCATTCATTACGAAATTTTAAAAAAACCATTTTTTGGTACCGTGAACTGCAATCACAGAACACGGAGCCATCGATTGATTACCCATGCGCTGCTCTGCCGCGCCATGCCATGCTTGAAGATTAAACAACCCAGCGATCCCGCTACTGACTGCGAAAAGAAGAATCTGCCAAAATTCTGTAAACACTAAACAGTGACATCACCATTTGGGAGGGAAATTTAAGTTAGCCCACAGCACAGCAGATACTACAAAAAAGCAGCCCAGCAGGAAGTTAGGAACTACTCTAGGAAGCTAACGAAGAGCGGCATGTTCCAACGCTACGCCCACACAAATGTAATAGCAAATCTTCTCGGCTTTTTTGTTGTTTTGCTCCATAAAAGAGGTACAAAAAACAGAAGCCAAACATGACTATGATTTTTCCAGTTTTAGCTTCAAAAGCAATCAGTCAACACAGTGACACAATTTTCTACAATTATCACAGAAAAAAACCTTCCGAAGTTCTACTCATTCTCGAAAGAAATGCAAATAACAATTTCTTGTCACGTCAGAAAGAAGTAATACTGATACAGTACAGTGGCCAATAATTCCAAAATGTCAATTGCAGTATTGCCTTACCGTTCACTCCATTCACCAGCGCCAAACGCGATGAACTGCGCAGCAGCCGCTTACAATCCACCATCATCCCGAAATCAAACCGGTGTCGTAACTCTTCGGGAACAAGAATGCTCAGCGGGAACCGTACATCGGCCAGTGTCAACGGGAAGCTAAAAGCCTGGTTGTGCATTCTCACCACACTACTGGCACCCGATGCTTTGTGCAATAAGGTCATATGGACATGGCTAATTACTGAATTTAATGTCTTACGAATTGTATCTACCGTGCCAAACAGCGGATTTTAAAAAAACATCAAGCACATCAAATTATTATTTTTGTGGAAATCTAGACTAATGTTATTGAAAAATGGCTTTATGTTCATTTCTACAAGCCGCAAGCGTCGTCTCCTTTTAAGCAGCAAGGAGAAGACAAAAGATGAATTCACGAAGAATTTATAGAGTTGACAAAATTATAAGGTTTCACAAGCGACATACAACTTCTACTAAATCTATTCTATCTCTTAAGAATTGACTATAATTATACTGGGATTTCTACATTATGTTTCTTGTATTACCTAAGAAGCCATCCGTTGATTAAGTGCTAATAATAAATTTTAAGCACCAAGTTTTGTAAGTTAACATTTAACAATCATCGAGAATGGGGTACTATTGTGCTAAAAGTGAAGTAATGCACTGCACTTGACTGAAGCACTGAAAGTCTGCCAGAAACCACTGAGAAGGGAAAACTAAAACGATTTAAGTAAAATCCCTGATGTCTTTTCACTGGTTTACAGAGTATTTCTGTCTACTTGCCAAGTTGTAGCTGCGTATTGTATGTACCCTAAAAGGCCATCAGTGTGATAAATATTAGAATCTATTGACAAAAAAATAAAAATATGAAGAAAACTCTGAAAAGATTACGACGTCTAGAAGAACAGCAGCACGTACCAAATATCTCAGTAACGGTGTCACCTGCGCACGGATTCGACTTCGACGCCTGGCAAATAAAACTACGCAAGCGATGGATCTCAGTATGTGCCGAAGGGAAACAATTCAGACTGGGTACAGGGAGATAAGTAATTCATGTATTGATTAAGTAGATTCGATAAAGGAACGCTTTCGATGGATAATAATGTGACATGTCATTACACTTTACAGGCACATCCAAAACGGATATCAACTGCCTAATAAACTTCCTTTTATAGCGCACTTTCGGGCGAAGAATGAGCTTCTTCAGAGAAAATTAATGTTAAAATTTAATGGGGACCAAGTAGAACAAAACGAGGTTAAGCAGATTTTTAACGAATGAAGTGATCCGCATATCATCATATCGGTGCAGACTGCAGAGTCACCGCGTTCACATTCCATAATAGCATAGTCCACATTCATACTCCATAATACCCGTGGAAACAGGAGGAATATAAACTTCTTAAGATATTTTTCAGCTCAGTATTCCAAGCTAGAAAGGGCATACGTACAAAATCCACCGTTCAACTGACAACTTTGTAGTTTGTGGTCTGTCGGATTACACTTGACAGTGCCAGACATGGAGTCGATTGAATGCAGCGTGCAGTCGGAAACGAGCGAGTGGCAAGGAGCGGGCTGGCAGCATGACCTAAGATTAGGCCTCGTCCCCTTTCTAAAGCGTATCGTGTTGCGATACAGCACCGTATCTAGTTTCGTTACAGTATAAAAATGGGACACTATTTGGTGCGCACCACCAAGACACAGTACAAGCTACGCACATCGAAACCGGGCTCGCTATCGGTTTCCTGTATCGCATCTCTAGCTTTGACGCCGTATCGCTGTACTTGCGTCTCATCGCTTCGATCGCATCTTGCCGCGCATAACTTTATTTGTCCGAGCGCCGATCAGTTCGTACGACGAAAGTTTTCGCTTTTTTAATTTCGAAGTTCGGGAAAATTGTATAGAAGTTCTTGATCCTCGTGTTGTATCAGCTCCATAGAAGTATATCATCTAACCAGTTACTTCCACGATGCCTCGCGCTCCCAAATCTGCTCCTCTGTCTCCCAAAAAAATGAAGTGAGTGCTGTCTATACTTCTCATAATCTTTTAGTCTACGACCGATGGCTGCAGGAGCTCCTCTGTGTTATCAGCCATGCTTATTTTGTTTCTGCATAGGTGGCTTGTCGCTACTCGTATCGACCGGGAGGATGAGTTTCGACGTTGTACAAGTAAAGCGAAATTTTGGTCAAAGGTGTTCCAGGAGATGCAGTTGGTTTTTAAAGATGCCCTGGGAAACCGCACCAGCGAGAACCTGAAGATCTCTTACGAAAATGCGTGGAAGAAATATAAGGTAAATCAATTTTTGCTTTAATACATGTTTTCAAATAAAATATGTAGAAATTACTTACCTGCATTAGTGACAGTGATTAAATTACTAACAATAGTTCTGCAAACTGTGAAATTAATTTTTGCACTTTTTTGCGGTTACTTGTAGGCAGAAAAAAAAAAAATGGCACCGGGAAAGCGGTGAAGTGAAATATCATTTATTTGAACTCTTCGATAAGACGTACGGCGATCGGGATGATATTGCTTTGCAACTAATTCGGTGGCTCTGGGAGCGGGATCCACGAGCAACGTTTTGGAAGACATCGGTGCCGAGAATGTGATATTAATTTGAGGTAAAATCTTTGATATTATCATGCACAGTTGTACCCTAGTAATTTGAGAAATTGATGTGGCAAAATAATAGAAATATTAAGTTTTGCTAATTTAGCGACGATGATATGCAACCGGATACTCCTGCGGGATCTCCAATTGGAAGCGCGGAAAAGCCAAAGAAAGCAAAGAAGAGCGAAAAACGCAGCGCCGCCAGTGAGACGGTTAAACTCATGACGCGTTCCGTTGCTATCATGGATGATATGCGAACTTCTCTAACCGAAATGGTAAAGCTGGAAAAAATGAAAGTTGAGCTTGCAAAATTGAAGTTCGAGCGGCAGTACAACGTGGAAGTCGACTTCGGAGACGATGAAGTTCCGCAGGCTTTAGGAGAAGAGTAGTAAAGCGGAACTGAATTTGACTAGTAAAGCGGAACCGAAATTTGACTTGAGATTATTATGATAAAACGGTGTCGTAAAAACTCTGGTGTGTAATTTTGTTGTTTTTCTGGGTATATAAACACTCATTAAAGCGTTGTGTAGTTTAGCAATAGAAGTATAATAGAGTTCAGCAATAGAAAATATAATCGCCACACTGTTTACCTACTTTCCATATAACAAGCAGAAATAATAACAAGAATGTTAACCGCAATACATCTTAATCACAGTTACACATCCATTCATGGAAACCCGTTTTTCATTTTCCGACTACGCATATAGTACGTCTACGCCGCCTCTACAGTATGGGGCACTGTGTCCAAATGTAGACAATTGCCACTAATTATACAGATGCGAAGATTTTGTCTTTTAATAGGAAAATCTTTCAATAGGACCAAACAGAAAAACTTTGCTATTGTTAAAAATATCCACTGTTTACGAGGATCGTTTAAACAGCGGTTTTCGGTTAAAACCTATCCGGATAGTTAACCAATCCGGTGAACTACCTAGCTTCGACAAATCACGAATTTTTTTAATCGCAACAAAGGTAACAAAAAATGTGAGCGCAGCACAATCGCCGGTAAGCTTACATTAATGGCCGACATAATTGTATTCTGCATGAGGATGACAGTCCAGAATGAGAGCCGAAGATAAAGCGCTTTCATAATGATCGCGCAGCCACTCCGAGGTACAAGGGCGTCCATCCATTTTCAACTTCATCCACATTTAAACAGCTAACCGCAGCATAAACGACGACTTCAACGCGCATTGTATACTGTACCGTACTGGCATTTAGCCACCACTCTACAGTGTTTCCATAGCGCAGCAACAGATTCTCACTCGCATCAGGTCCACTTCGTTAGGTCACCTTCCCTGTCAATATGCAGGAGTTATTGATGATTAGATAACCAGTTTTCACAAAACAAGCCAAAACCATGTGTGTCGATCCTTAAGCGTCTCCATGGATAAAAATGAGATAAAAATAAAAACAGCACCTGTGCTATAGAATCAAAATAAAATAATATACGTAAACTCGATAAACAAACTGCAGCGGTAATGTAAGCCGTTCACTTTGACTTGCCGGTTGAGTGAATAATTAACAGTACAGCACACGTACGACCAGCTATTTTTAAAAGCCGACATATCTGATTACAAATGCAAATTGTGAATGAATCTAGTGCATATTCACGTGTACAGATATATCATACAAAAAGCGTTATGTACTCGTATTATAACATTATTATAGCAATTTGCTCACCTCAGTTTAGAGACAAGTAGATTTAAAAGGCATATGCAACCTAATGCCCACCAGTACATACAGGCACGTAAGTTCCGTTGTACCAACAAGTAAAATTACTGGTTTTATGCGCGCTTCCGGGCATACAGTACTTGTATAGAAAGCCAAGGAAAACATACTTAGGGCTTTACGCATCTACGGACGATAATGCCCGCGTTTGCAACTTTTGTTATTTTGATAGCTATTGGCTTAATAAAACTGCATGAATAAATTTACCAAAAATTTTACACTTACCGATTTCTTAACCCAGCGAATTTGGCAGCATCCGCGCAACTAGAGCGCTTTTAAAATCGGTAGATGCTCCTTCGGCAACATCATCCACTTCATCATCCAGATCAACCGCTTCGACATGATCGTCCCCCTCCAACGTAAAATCATCTACGGATTTGATGTCCAAATTATGAAGCAGACAGCACAGAATAATAATGTGCTTCATTGCACTCATGTCGTCATAATCCAAAAACTTTAAAATTCGAAAGCGTCGCTTCAGAACGCCGAAAGCTCTTTCAACGACTTTTCTTAAGCTGGACTGAATTTCATTGAAATCTTCCTGCCTAGCAGAGAGACGGCCGTTCTCTTTAAACGGTGTCAAAACTTTTCTTGTCGCACGGTACCCACCATCACCTGCAAATTACAATAATAACTTGTAATTGCGTTACTTCGTTGAAATTTAATCTCGAAAATGAAAAAATACACTACTTAATTTTACCTTTTTACACAACATTAGTAGAAAAATATTAAAGCTATTAAAAATCGGAGAAATTAACAGCAGTACAAATTTAAGTCAGCACTATAGACTCGTTTATTTCTAAAATAACAAATTCCTTTAAATTCCTTAGTGCGTATACTCACCCAAAATCATCCAGTTCTCTGGAATTAAGCCTTCCAGCCCGAATTGTCGTACACGTTCTGGTCATGCACCCGCCAGGAGCTCCAACATATAGATGTATAAATTCCATAGAAGAATTGACACAAGCCTGCACGTTAAGAGATAATTCCCTTTCCTGTTGACGTAGCTTTCGGGGCGAGTGTGGTGCTTTAATGTTGATGTGTCCCGTCCACTGCTCCCAGTATTTTTGGTACCCAATCAGCGCCATAAAGCAGTCCTTTTTCTTCAAACTCACGGGCCGAACGCATCATACCATCTTCGTCGGGAAACTGTATAAGCGACCAGTATTCTTTCTTCATGGCATTCAAAACGTCCGAAAAGCTCTACTCGTCGTCGAGCGCGACAAACCATGAAGTTCGCACTGTGACCGTACCGATGATCCGTGTGCCAGCATATGGAGGCAGGCAGCGATTTTGCATTCCGTAGAATAAGGCCTCTTCGTCGAACTCTTTTCAAAATATGGACGTAATTTTTCCACAATTTCACGAAAAACATCCGCATTAACGTGGTACGTCTCAAAGAATAAATGCCCAGGATATCGCTTGTACAGGTTTTGCGCAGCAAAACGAATTTCTCGGCGATTAACGTTCTTATTACCTCCACGAGATAGATATCCCTTAGTACTCAAGTTTTTTAAACCACCAAATAAATTCTGAATTGCACTAGAAACTGACATACATACTGCACTAACAGTTTTTGTAACGCTTTCGTTCTCGTCATCAGAACAAACGGCATCATAATCCATTTTTAACAAAATTCCATTAATAAGTGTTCAAGATTATTAGGCGAAAAAATTTCTTGAAAATTATCATGAGAAACGACGGATACCAAGGAAAGCCACCTCTGAAGGTGGCTTCGCGTACCGTATCGTTTTTCTTTGTTTTCGACGGTATGCGAAAAAAGGGCGCGTTTAATTTTCGCCTGATATGAGACGCAGGGTTAGTACAGGCTACGAGGTACGGTACGCGAAGCATCGTATCTACCCGTTGCGAATACGGGACGCACTCGGATACGGAGTGCACCTCCGTCCCGAATCTTTCCTTGGTAGCCAGGTACGCGAATCGAAAACTGCCATACCGTATCGCGTACCTGCTGTTCTGGGACGGTGGTGCACTGTACGGAAGCTAGATTCGCTACAGAAAGGGACGAGGCCTTAGTAGAACAAAGCCTGGAGGCGGAGCGTGAATGCCAGTAATACGAACAGACCAATTGGGGTTGTTAATTGTTGAACAGTGAACACTACGAATAATTATGCCGCTTTCTTATACAGTTATACCGATACAAGCCCAGC